GCTCACAAATGATCAGCTAAATGGTAACTATTGGTTGCAAGGAGAAATTATTGTGAAATTGTTAGTTCATAGATTTCTTTCCTGCCTTTGGTTTATTAGAAATCATTATTGCCCAATTCAAGATCATGGATTAAGTAAAGTTTTTGTGGAGCCTGACCACATGTTTTGCTCAGATAGGGTGGTTACCTCATTGTTTCATCCAAGGCAAATAAGAGGTTGTTGTTATTGTTTTCAGTAACTCCCTCATTCCTCCCTTTAGTTCACTCATAAGCATTTTTAGCCATTCGTTTGAGGAAGCAAGCAATGCCAGATCCAGACAGCGTAGAGGCATAGAAGAATTCTTGTTTGCTTAGCTTTACTTCTTATTCTGTCATCTTTTGATTTAAAGTTTTCCTTTACCATGAACCTTCTAGCATCTTCATTTTCATAGCCTAAAATGAATCCTGCATGGTAATGATATATCCAATAGATAGTTCTTTATGAGTACAGCCTCCAATATGACTGCTGTTGCATCTTTGTAAAATATTCGGCTGTGTTTATGTTAAGAACATACACTTTCAAAATGGATTATGTTAGTCTAAAATCCAAAAACTGTTAGTTGTTGTGCTGGTGCTAGTGTGTGTAGTTAATTTTCTGCTTTTATTTGCATACCAGGAAACCAACAATGTACTTGGACTAGTGGAGAAAATGAATACAAGAGTTGCTGAAGAATATAAAGGATTTGGAGATGTGGCTTCAGGGTTGAGGATCTTTGTGGAACAATTGAAGTCTAAAAGTGGCAGCTTTGACGAGTATGTTCAACAGATTGATACAATAGAGCAGCAAGTTACAGAGTTTGAAGCTGTAATTTCGATGCTTGATAAGTACGTTTCTTTGCTGGAATCCAAAGTGCAGTCTGCGTACCAAATTCCTCCATCATGAATCAACTGTAATTCTTCTTTTTGTTTCTACTGTTACACCCTCAAAGCTGTTGCTGGATTGAATCGAACTTGATTTTTGTATGTCATCAAGAAACTCTATACAAATAAAAAGATGAATTTAGCAACTGTCTATCTCAAATAGAAAGGAGGCTATTGAGTATACAGCTAACAAAATCCGGTAAGAAGTTTTTGGAAGAACTTCTGTTGGATTTTGCTTGTTTTTATTTTTGCAATTTATATGATTCTTTTCTTCTGTCTTTACTCTTGACTCATCTTTTCAGTTTTTGGGTACAATAGCTTTTTATGTATCTTGCGCTTGTTGGGGAGAAGTTACTCCACCTAGTATTTACACCAACCCAATGTCGTGTGCTGCAATGATTCTTGATTTTGTGGAGGGCCAAAATTAGTCATTTCTTTATTTCCCAAGTAAATGATTATCGAATAAGTAATCGTAAAATTAATCAATTTTACTAGTTTAGTTTATGAAAATAGTTTCCATATTATAATTCAATTATAGTTTTTCCAAGTAAATGACCCCTTTTCAGAATTTTGTGCAAATCAAGTGAAATAATCTAATTGGGTCTGTACCAAATGTAAATGTTAAGGTAACTGTAGACAATAAATTGTGTTAGAGAAAATAAAATCAAGATCGAAAAATATCGCAATAATCGTAGTATTTAATTTCAAATAATTTGAGTGTACAATCTGTATGAATCTTCTGATTCTTCTTTCCAATAGTAAATAAATTCAAGGGCCCTTGAGCTTGATCTTGAATCTATATTTGTTGCCACGGATGATGATCTTAGATTCAACTAGCACGAACTTTGATTTGAACTCGTACTCCTTGAATCTTGATTTTTCGTTCTTGAGCTTGAACTTGGACTTGATTGCTTGATGCTTGAAACTCGTGGAGGAATTTGCAGCGTTTGATCCACGAGCTCTTTCTTGCTTCTTGTTATAACTTCTGGTGTCTTTTCTGGGTTATGAAGGCCCCTATTTATGTTTGTGGGAGGGAAGAGTTATGACGAGAACAAACTCTTTCCGACCAATCAATTGAAGTGACACAAGGGCCAGAACATGTCATTTGCACACATGGCGCGATTTCGTTGGCCTTTTAATGTGACTTGGCATGCCTTGCCATTTTGACACATGGCATGATCCTATTGGCTCTTCCGTTTGATTTGGCGCGCCGCGTCATTTGACACATGGCGCCAAACTGGGCCTTTAAGAAGATGACATTTTGGGCTTAATGAAGTGGGCTCATCACTTTAGCCCAATTAAACCAATTAAATGGGCTAGCCCAATGGATTAAGACTTATTTATTTAATTCATATATATTGGACTTATATAATTAATTCAATTATATTAGCCCATAATATTTATTTGGATCAAAATGTATTTAATTTAAGATCAAATCCAAATTTCTTATGAATTTAAATCTAACAAAATTATCATTGCCTACAAATACCCCTACTTCAAGACTAGTTTGGAGGTAGATATACTTAACTTCGAGCACTAGGCTTGAAGTAATATGTAATAGTGAATACGTCCCTTTTCTTCTTCTTGTACTCCAACATATCTCATGAGTACGTATGTGATTCTACTGTAATTTAGAACCAAAACAATTTCAATTGACTCGAATCCCTTCAGCAATATGATTTCCCCTTTTCCAATCCTAACTACCATAGTATTAGGATTTGCATGGATATTGGAAATCCTTTTTGAGGTCAAACAGTAATTGCCAAGCTATTACCGACAGACATGAACGCCGTTCCTAACAAGTCCAAATCCTTCTCAAGAACTAATTGTAGAATTCCCACATCGGAATAAATTTCTGACAACCGCCTTTCACTTCCTATATAAACCCATGCGCACATCCATGTTCAGTATCAATTCTCGTATTTGCAAGCTATTTCATTCTAGTTTCGTGGATTCGAAAGCATTGACGTGAAGTTAATTTTTTTTTTTTGCTTTCTTCTTTTACTGGTATTTTTTGGTAGGTCAAACAAGAAAGATATGTTCTTGTTTAACGAGATGATTCAGGCATGAAGAAGGTGACCTTAGGATGTGAGGGGATGGGTACTCATTCCCGCTCAAATATCGGAGAGATTACTCTCAAAGTGCCCCGAATATTGGAGAGATTACTCTCAAGGTGGACCGACTATCAGAGAGATTACTCTCAATGCGGACCGACTATCAGAGAGATTACTCTCAATGTGTCCCGAATATCGAAAAGATTACTCTCAAGGTGGCTTGAATATCGGAAAGATTTCAAGACGCAAAGGTTCATATGACATATCGATGAAGGTGGCTTGAATATCGGAAAGATTTCAAGACGCAAAGGTTCATATGACATATCGATGAAGGTGGCTTGAATATCGGAAAGATTTCAAGACGCAAAGGTTCATATGACATATCGAAGTACAAGTCCATGGCAACAAATAGATGGAGAAATCCTCAACATCATATGGAGGACAAATCCATGACAGCATAGATAAATCCATAAAGAGGCCAACTTAAGGTGTAAAGAGACTTAAATGTCCACCTTAAGATTGGAAAGTTATAGTTTCTTTTAAGGACAAACTCGAGAAGAGGCTAACTGAAGGTGCAAAGGGACTAACATGTCCACCTTAAGATCGGAAAATTAGAAAGCTTCAACTTGAAGACTTGGTGGACTTTGCAGAAACTTGAAGACCGACGAACTTGAAGATTTGATGGACTTGAAGATTCGGCGGACTTTGACGCTTCAACCTGAAGACTTTGAGGGCTTAAATATTTCAACTTGAAGACCGGGCCGTAACTTGAAGACTGACAGACTTGAAGACTTCAACTTGAAGACTTGGAGGCTTAAATATTTTGACATGAAGACCGAAGAACTTGAAGACTTCAACTTGGAGACTTGGAGGGCCTGAATATTTCAACTTGTAGACCAGCGGATTTGAGGACTTCAACTTGAAGAGTGCTGAACTTGAAGACCGGCGAACTTAAAGATTTGGTGAACATGAAGACATAGTGAATCTCTGGGCTTTAATGCAAATACTTAGTACCTTCCGAAAAGACTATAATCGTCCCATTGAAGACATTGGTTTACCATGGAGGCTTGCCCCCTCTAAGTCATATGAGATCCAAAATTTAATAGAAGAATGATATTTCAGCCCGACTTTCGAGTGTTGGTTGAATGAATTACTTCCATCATGCTTCATTTTGATAACGATTGGGGCAATGTGTTATCTTTTGAACTTATGCGACTGAACTTAGAATGAAACTCTAAGCTGTCTACGTACCTTGGCGAAGAGGATCAAGTCATACCCTAGTTCAAAATGGGTAATTTTTTTTGTATGTCCTAACTTTTGCCTAGGCAGCCTCTTTCGAGGTTTTCAACCTAGCAATTTTTTTTTTAATTTTTTTATGTCCTAACTTTTGCCTAGGCCACCCCTTTCGAGGTTTTCAACCTAGCGGACTCTTTTTTGTGTGGGTCGTACATAGTTTAGACTTAAGCGGGCCAGGAGTGTAGGAACATGCAGTTTAGGCTCGTGTGTCAAGGAGCGTTGCAACTTCAAGGATAATACTTCTTCAAAAACTTGCCATTGATAGGGCCAATTCTCATGCCATCTGCACCAACCAGCTTGTAAGCCCCACTTGAGTAAGCTTCTTGTACAACATATGACCCATTCCATTTTGAAGTGAACTTCCCTACATGTTTATGGGAAATAATTATGGGTCTTCGTATGAGTAACACTCCTCAAATTTATAAAAGTTTCGAGACACGCTAATTATAGAATTAATTATTATTATTATTATTATCTTGCCTATAGTGAAAATAATATATATATATATATATACACACACACACACACACACACTTAAATAATTGGATATACAATTATGAAATATTAATATTTTTAATATTACTAATTACTAAGAATGAGTATCATTAATTATTAATTAAGTTAAAAAGAAAAAGAGAAAGAAAAAAGAAAAAAGAAAAGCCTAAGCCCATAAAGTGGAAGGCAAAAGGCAAAGCCTTAAACAAACTAAAACTAAAAAGCCTTAACAGAATAAAAGGCTTAAACGTTCATTCAACAAAGGCAAAAGGGATAAGAAGTCTTATACGATAAACTGAAGCAGAACGCTACGAAACAGAGGCAGAGACTCACGCAGTCAACAAAAAAAATCTAAGGTTCTTTACAAATCACTTATTTTTGAATTCAGGTATATAAAATTCCTTATTGTCAATTACCCTAAGTAGTAATAGGTAAGAATTAAATAGTTAATTCCTTTCTTTCTCTATATCAACAGTAAAGTTCCGTGTTTAGGTGCGAAACTTTAAAATTAATTAAAATGCACTGGTTTTTGTAGAATCGATTATTTGACTGGTGTCAATTGGACTGGGGTCTACGTATTTGCTCGAGAAGTTTTGAGGTGAGTTGATATAACCCTTTACTAAAGTGGTTTAACTCACAAAAGCATGCACATAAGGTGTTTGATGAATTGCATAAAAGAGTAAATATATACTTAATTGGAGTAGTAAGTACCTATTAGCTTAGAATTATTTTCTAGCTAAAGTTTAGATGATTATTTTGATATATGTGCATAAATTTCAGATTTTTATGTTATTCTTATATGCCATTTTCATGTTGAAAATTAATGAAGGATCAAGAATCTTTATAAATACTTTGAATGTTTATTTCATTCTTATGCCATGCCTTACATTTAAGAATACCAGTATGAGTATGTATAAAAGATTTAGACTTGAAAAGTCACAAGAAGAAGTTTTAGAAAGAAATTTTTTTGGGAGTATCCTTTATTCCGAGAAGGGGTCATCGTCCAGGCCTAGGGTCCTGACCAAAGCATTGACTTCCTGAAACTACTTGTGCCAAAGTAGGGAGTACACGAGCCGAGGGTCTCGTTACTAAGAATTTACTTAGTCATGCTAAGGTATGAGACATGAGCGCTGAGAACCATGAAGCGAGTGTCACCTCGTAGATTGGGCCTATTCGATCAGGTTGGGATCGAACCCGTGCCGATCACACGATGACTGAGACAGAATTAAGTCAGGATAGTTGGAACTCCCAAAGTATAAAGTGAAGTATTTTTTTATAAGAAAGAAAAAGAAAAGAATTTCTTTTAAAATATTCATAAACTGCTATTAAGCAATTATTTTAGAATTATTCTTGTAAGCTTTATATTTTTTATGCATTTAGAACCTTTGCTCGTAATGTATATGTTATTAAAGTTTCGCCCCTGTTGTTGAGACTCACTGAGTACAATGGATGGTACTGACGTTCTCTTTTGGGAACCTACGTTGGTCTGCGGTACAACGTAGGAACCGGTTTTGCAGGCGAGCAGGCTACGTGTTAGGACTTCCTTCTCTTCCAATGCTATTGGTGAGCTCCGCTTTTGTTCGTGTAGTATTCCTTTGAGTCATCTTTATTTAGTTATTTCTTTGTTTACTTAGAGAACTGGCCAGGAAATCTCATGTCCTGAGCAGTGCGCCAGTTGATCAGTAGAGGCTTCATAGACATAGTCAATGGGTTAAGATTCAGATGTTTTTGATAATAACTTAGCAGAAATTTAGTAGTTACTACGAATAAAGTTTTGGAGTTGATTTATTTAAATATTTAAATTAATCAAAAGTATTTAGTTGGAATATTGCCTTGTTGCATATAAAGTTTGGAGTTATAATATATTTGATAAGCAGAGATAGTTCGCTTGGTCATATTTAGTGATCGAGTGCCGGTCCCGGCTTGTTCAGAAAATGGGTCGTGACAGTATGATAAGGACTTGATCTCCTACATGAAAAGATCTCCGGCGAACTCTTTTATTGAAGGCACAAGACAATCGAGCTTGATAACATTCAAGACTCTGTTGAGCTTCCAACCTCTTCTCATCAAGAGCCTCCAACTCTGCTAATCGAAGTCGAGCATTTTCTTCATCAGTGATCCCTTCTTATATAGATAATCGTAATGAAGGTATTTGATGCTCAAGTGGTAAGACGGCTTCGACTCCATAAACGAGTACATAAGGGGTTTCTTGTGTTGGCATGCGGTAAGTTGTCCTATATGCTCACATAGCTTTTTCCATACGGTCATGCTAGTCTCGTTTGGATTTAGAGGCGACTTTCTTTAACAAGTTGCATAGAGTCTTGTTGAATGCCTCAGCTAGATCATTAGCAGCAGCATTGCTCATCGAAGAGTTACGTTGCTTGAAGCCAAAGAGATCACAAATCTCGTTCATCAACTTATTATCGAATGGCTTTCCATTATCCGTTATTATGTAATGAGGAATACCAAAGCGATAGATTATGTTTACTCGGATGAAACTTGCAACATTTTCCTTTTTTAACTTCTTAAGAGCAATAGCTTCAGCCCATTGAGAAGTAGTCAATTGCAGTCAAGATGTATAGGTGACCACTAGAGGACTTTGGCAGTGATCCAACAACATCCAATCCCCAAGCGTCAAACGGCCAGGATGCCACAGTCGGGTGCAACACTTCAGGAGGTTGATGAATAAAATTTTCATGGAATTAAAAAGCCTTGTATCTTCGAGCATAGTCCAACCAATTTTTTACCATTGTTGGCCAATAATATCCCATCCTTTTAATATGAAAGTGGAGCTTTGGTCTAGACTGGTGTGACCCACATACCCAGAATGTGCCTCTTGCAAAGCTTGGAGTGTTTCTTCTTTCCCTAAGCATCACAAGAGTATTCCCTCGAATGACCTTTTGTATAGAGTATCTTTGTAGTAAAGGAAGCGAGGTGCACGATGATGGATTTCAGTCCTTCTCCTCGAATTTTTTAGAAGTATCCCATAACTTAAGTAGTTAATAATGGGTTGTCTCCATTCTTCTTTCTCAGCTTCAGAAATAACGACAAGATGCTTGAGTTCATTTTCTTCACCTTCAGCCTCATTTGGCGGGGGTACTACCCATTTTTGGCAGACAGTAACCTGCACTTGATCAGGAAGGGTTAGCGATGAAGCTAGGGCATCTAAAGCATCATCCTTCTTGTTTTCTTTCCTTGGCACATGTTGAATAGTCACGTCACCGACCCATCCTATTAATGTTTTAGCATAATCATGATATGGGCGTAGTTCAGGTTTTTTGACCTTGTAACTACCTAAAAGCTGGTTTATCACCAACTGAAAGTCACCAAAGACTTGAAATTGCATCCGCTTCATTTCGACATCCATTTCAAGCCAAGTATTAGTGCTTGATACTAAGCAACATTGTTAGAGCAGAGTTGCATCAACGTAAAAGAGTAGGGCAGAACTTCACCTTGAGAAGCGACAAATACTACACCAACACCAGCTACTCCGCAATGTGCAGCACCATCAAAGTACATCTTCCATGGAGGTTAAACTTCAATGACCATTGCATCCTCATCAGGTAGTTCGTCATTTAGCTCCCAATCATCAGATATAGGGTGATCTACCAAGAAGGCTAGCAATGCTTGTCCTTTTACAGCCTTTTGAGGGATATATAAAATCTTGAATTGTTGAAATTGGAGATACCATCTCGCTAGTCGATTACTAAGAAAAGGTTTTGACATCACGAATTTAATGGGATTTGATTTAGAAACAAGACGAATAACATGAGCTTGAAAGTAGTGCTTCAACTTTTGAATTGAGAAGACTAGCGCCAAACACAACTTTTCAATTGGTGAATAATTCAGCTTGTTTGGTGTCATCATCCTGCTCAAGTAGTAAGAGAGTTTTCTTTCCCCTCACTATTTTCCTGGGCCAACAGTGCTCCAACAGACCTTTCTTATGCTGAAATATATAGTATCAGCGGCTTTCCAAGTATCGGGGCTGCTAAAATTGGAGGCTTCATTAAGTAGGATTTAATGCTCTCAAAGGCATTGCTACACGTTTGGCCCATTTGAAAGGGACACATTTCTTAATAAGGCGACTGAATGGTTGGCACCTGCCAGCTAGGTTTGAGATGAATCTCCTAAGGTACGCTAACTTTCCTTACAAACTTTTCAATTCGTGAATATCCCGAGGCTCAAGCATTTTCAAGATTGCATCTACTTTGGCTTGATCCATTTCAATCCCTCGATGTCGGGCAATGAAACCAAGAAACTTTCCGGAAGCAACGCCAAAGGCGCATTTCAATGGATTCATCCTAAGTTGGTGCCTTTGGAGCAACTCAAATACCATTCTCAAGTCTTTTAAGTGGTCGCCCCTCTTTCTTGATTTTACCACCAAGTCATCCACATAGCATTTGACATTTTTGTGGAGAATGTCATCAAAAATATTCTGCATAGCCCTTTGATAAGTAGCACCAGCGTTCTTCAATCCAAAAGGCACTACCCTGTAACAATAAATACCCTTGGGGGTGCAGAATACAGTAAGCTCTTCATATTTTGGTGCTATGAGAATTTGGTTATAGCCTGATGAACCATTCATAAACGACATTGCCTCATACTAGTAGTAGCATCGATCATCAGCTCTGGAATAGGAAGCGGGAATTTATCTTTGGGACACACATTGTTGAGATCCCTGAAGTCGACGCACACTCGAATCTGGCATTCTTCTTCCTTACAGGGACAATACCTGAAACCCATGTTGTGTATTTAATTTCACGAATAAAACCAGCTTTGATAAATTTGTTAACTTCACTTTCAACCAAGGGAACCAAGTCTGTCTTAAAGCGCCTTTGAGCTTGCTTAACAGGACGAGCACTATTCTTGACTACAAGGTGATGGACTGCTACTTTAGGGTCCAATCCAGGCATCTTTAAACTCCTTGAGTAAATCCATATAAGTTCTCTCTTCATCGGCTACTAGTAAAACACATAGATAAGTGGGCCTCGGTTCTTCATCAGTGCCAAGGTTTACTTCTTTCAAAGCGTCCACTGTTGTTTTTACCCCTTCTTCAAGTTCAGGTAGAGCATCCTTTTTATATTTATCTTCTTGAGGGTCCCCATCATTGAAGGATATGTGATAACACAGTGAAACATCCTCTATTGAAATGGAACACCATTCTCACCTTGTACAGTAACATAATACGAAGAACCCACACTTTTTTTTGTCTTCATCACATTCTTTAGTGAAGACCACAGTGTATGGATTCACCTTTAGTGCCTCATCACACGAAACCATGACTTTTGTTTGTCACTTCATTCTAGAAGGAACCAGACTTTGGAAATTCTTAGAGAACTTCTGAATTTTGGGTGAAGCGGGTGTTCTTGTATTTCGATAATTTCTGTGGAACTTATTCCCCTTTCTTTAATGGACTCAATATCTCAAGTACGGAAGTTCGCACAGTTGATTTTCCAAGTCGATCGAAGACAAAAGGCTTGTTAGAAGCAGCAAATTCGTCTTCTACAGTGACATAATTGCTGCTCGCCATTCGTATGGAGATGCGCACTGGTGACGGTCGCTTGTATCCCAAAACTTCACGTGGTTGCTGTCGCGCCCCCTTTTTCTCGCGAAATCGGGCTTGTGATATTTGGGAGGTCAACTCGTTCCCTTTTGAGAATTGGGTTTTGGAATTGAAGAGTCGCTACCTAATGATTAAGTGCATTAGGACACTAAGAAGGGTTTGAATTTGAAGAACCAGAGTTTAGGTAAGGGCTAGAAATTATCTCGAGGGGAAGGTGTTAGGCACCCCTCAAGATCCACTAGTGTGGTTCCCGGCCATGTTATAATTGTGACTTCACATAATCAAGTAAGCAATTAAGGACTCAAATAGAGGGGTTTGCATATAATATGGCAAATAAATTGAAGACTTTTGAGGAACAGTAAAGAGGGCAAAAATTTATGAAAGATTTAAGCAATTCTAAAGAAAGCAGATAGTAAAGGGAGAGGGGTCCTAGGTTTATGATTAATATGGATCACGTCAATGCAATACCCGGTAATCACTCCTCAAAAGAGGGGTTACACGTGGTATTAGCGCACCGGTCATCATATCCATATCTACCCTTCCCACCCCGTTAAGGTATTAAAGCGCAGAATGGTGTCGTTACTTATTGCATGCTAGTAGCCGCCCCAATCTTATCAGCCTCGGAGGCATTGAGACTACTAGTCCTAAAGGGAAGGGAGATTTGGCTTTTATGGTTTAAAGGACAAAATCTAGGGTGACAAACAAAACACATAAAGCATATATGGGAAAACACATAACATTTAAAGGCTCAAACAGGCCTCCTTTAAAGAAACAAATTGTTTAGCATGACTTTCATGTACTGGTTATGGTCTGAATTAAATTAAAGCATAAGATAGGCTGATTCATCACATATTTCTCATATGAGGAGTCCGAATTAGCCTTTCCTGATTGTAATTTATCAAAGACTGATGCAGTTAATTAATTACCTAATGGTTTGCCTAAGTGAGACCTATAAGCATGATATCTAACAGTG